GAAACTCAGGGCCGCTCGGCTTTAAGAGACGTGCGCGCACCTAAAATCGAAGTTGCGTACGTCTTTCTCACAGGACTTACGCGAAACACATGTAAATCGCGCGGATTGGGGAGGTGTACATGTGTTTCTTTTCAAACGATTTCTTTTACTTTCGAAGAATCTTCTACGATTATCAAAATTGTAGACGCATCGTTCGGCGTTCTCACATAGCCTGACAATTGACGTTACCGAATGCCGAGATCAAAACGGACTCCGCGAACACCGCTGAAAGTATTGTCCAGAAGCGCCGGAGTATTGTCCAATGAGCCGTCCCTGGGTTGGCGGACCCTTCCTGCCGCGGGACCGTTCTCCACCGAGTTCGTGCAGGTATATAAATTCTGGTGCTATTATTGGGGTTTGCGCCTTCTCACAAGGCCCTCTGGACCCCGCGGCGGCCCCTTTGAGCTACTCTTTCCGCCTCTCTCGCCCTCGGCGTCCTCTCGCTCCTGCTTATCGTTGTTGACCCCCCTCAGCATCCCCGCTCATCCTCCTCCTCCTCCTCCTCCTCCTTCTTCTTCTTCTTCTCCTCCGCCACCTCTTCCTCCTCCTCTTCCTCCTCCTCGTTCGCCGCCGCTCCGTTCTCTCCTCCCGGAGATGCCACACCGCCCTTGTCCTGTTTGTTTTTCCTCGCGTCGTCTTCCGTTTGCTAAACGCACCTTAAATTACGCGGCCGATGATAAATATTTGAGCCGTCCATTACACGAAAGGCCCACTCGGACCGTCGTTCGGCCGGTGTTACCTCCGCTTGCTCGACATTAGGTTCCTCCAGGATATCGTGTTACCTCGAAAAAGAGACAGCTGAGCTCATACGTTCGCGACGCATCATGGACCCCGCTTGTCTTGCCGACAGAAATTTGCAGGCTGAAGAAAAACTTTCATTGCCTGCATCGGCATTTTCCGACTCAACAAATGAGGATAGCGAGAAGTTAATTATGAAAAGATTAAAATATCTTAAGTTTAGACAAATCATTGATACAAAATATGGTAATATTATTTAATGAACTTTTTATTTATCCATTTTTGGATTAATTCAGACTAAATTCACTCTTTCTTAGATGGGACGTCAAGGAAATTCACCGTCCGATTTTGCAATTTTGAATTTAATTAAAAATGTAAGTGCGGAATGTTTTTCACTATACGAGATAATATATCACAGTTATTAATTAAGACGTCAAGTATCCATTATCCGTAAGAATCCGATAAGAATCGTACGTAATCAAGAGATTGTTAGATATAATAGATATCATTTTGACGTGATAAAACCGATCGATAGCACGCTATATTTTCGTTGGCCTCATAACTCAGCCGGAGTCGAGTGTCACGAGGAGAGTGTCTAACGCGACAGAAGGAATCTTAATCGTGTATGTGTTCCGCGCGCACAGGACCACCGACAATATTCTCTCCTCCTTTATATTTTCTCACGATGCAACGATCTTACATGGCACGGCAACGCCGCGCCGTTACTTGCACCTCGATAGCAGAATTTTATTTCCAATCCCCCCGCGCGCGCAGCACACATACACGCGTGCACATACCGCAGCTGGCCACGAAAGTCAAAGTGCCTCGTAACAGGATTATGAAATGTTCCGGAGTAGCGTTCCACGGATGTTTACAGCCCGCGAATACTCGTTACCTTTTATTGCCGGCAAGTTTTCAGCGATTTCTGGCATTGGCTCCGTTAACGAGCGACATTTTATACTTTCATTGGGCCGTAATTCTCCCCCTTTCCGCGTAGGGCGATGCATACGGCTCGTAATTCGGCCATTGTGTTTCCGGACGCGCCAAGATGAGGAAAATTCACGAAAAATCGAGTTTGCGATACTAATATCGAAATCCGGCGAAAATTGGAATCGAAAATTTGAATTAGTTTTCGACGAACATCATGAGTTTATCTCTGCTAATCATTATCTCATTGTTTTTAAGAAATTTTCAATTTTATTTAAAACTTTTCTTTTAGAGTTTTAACATAAATATTCGATATAACAATTTTTCTATAATACAGAAAAAAACTCGATGTTTCATGAATATCCAAAAACAAAAAATCTTATCATTTTTACTTATATCTTTTCTTATTTACCTCTTATGTAACTCTTAAAAAATTAAATATTGAAATTGAATTTTATTTTACGAAAGATTTTTCTTATTCGTAAATACTAAATATGATCACGTTAGAAATAATTATAGCGCGTTTGATGTAATATCTGCGTTAACAAGTGCTGACAAGTATAATTTAATTGAAGTAGTCGAATCACAACTTGTACAGTTATTAGACCACAGTTAGAGAAATGAATATTTTTCTTTTTTTTTATTTAAGAGTGATAACTCTTATGAATCAAACGCGCAAATTATATTAAACAAAATTTATGTTATGCATCGATTTAATTTCTTGTTTTATTCCTTTCTGTAAAATCCAACGAGCGAATACGCGAAGCGTTTATACGATTAGTGTCAAGAATTAGGAAATATTATTTCCCAGACGAACGAAGAGCTTTGCTTTTCAACGCGATTGTAGCTATTGCCAGAATGCCACGGGCACGTTTCAGCACGACGTTGTGTAAATGCGAACGGGGGACCAGCGATCGTCTGTGTATTCGGGAAAGATGTTTATTATCAGTAAACTGAACTCTTTACCGTATCCCCCTTCTCTGCTTGTTCTCCACCCTCCGTGAGGTAGACTTAGACTTTCATATCAGTTGCCGTGTAGCCGTGCGCCCGGCCTCGTATATTTTACTCGCGCGATACACTCCGCCGCGCTTATAGCGCCGATCAACGGTATTTGGCTCGTATAATCGGTCCTCCGACGTGCAAATATCAATTGCATTTCTCGCGGCCAGATTGAACGGTGACGATGATCAATGATCGTGCAATCTCTCGCACATCTGTAATCGGAGCGACTCGTTCGCGGATTTTTCTCACGATATCTCGTGAGAGGCGCCAAAGTGCTCGAAGAGATAATAAACGGCTCACGCCAATCCGCACGTGTACTTATCAATAACGTAAACAAGAAAACAATAACATTCTGGTAAATAATAGTTACTAATTATTATTCGCATACATCGATATCATATAATCTACGCGTAATACAATAATAATTGCTGAAAGTCAAAATTTAAATGCCAGCTTTGAAGTCTTTTCGTAAAAATCTCGGAAAATGTGAAAAGAAATTGCGAATCTACGTCGAAATGAACTGCGAGTATTAATGGTAGAAAAAGAAATGGGTAGAATCAAGTGAGCGAAAAGAAAGAAACTAAAGAAGAAGAAGAAGAAGAAAACGAAGACCGGAGTCCTACAGCGCTCCAAGTATCCGTCAAGGTCACTCTCGCAAGCCTCCCACGCCTCGCGTATTACTTTTATCACAGGGGTATCGATTCATCCCTCCGGGGTAGAAAATCATTGAGAATCTTTGCGATGAGTCCTCCACGTAGCATAAGAATGGAAGATTTTACACAGCGGATGGCCGAGCTAAAAGAGAAAGCGCAATAGGCGGAAAGAAAGCGACGCACTCCGATAAAAAGGAGGATGAAGTAATGAGATAAGACAGCACGACGAAGAAGAAGTGTAGTCCAATCGGTGTTAGAGGAGTAGACGAAAAACGTCGAAGAGAGAAAGATAATCAAAGAAGAAGAGATGGACGAATGGTGAATAATGAAGAAACAGAGAGAGCAGAGAGAAAGAGAAGAAGAGTAGAAGGGAATGAAAGACTAATCGCGTTTAGCCGAAGAAGAAAACTGGAAGATTATCCTCTTTCTCTTTCTTTCTCTAATTCTCTATCTTTTTTCTCTTCTTCTTTGTCGCACTTTCTAACTCTTTCTTTCTCTCTCTCTCTCTTTTTCTTTCTCCCTCCCGTCACGTGCACCTGTCTTCGTTTACCTGGTGAACGCCCCGCCCCGGCCAATAGAGGTACAGCGGGCCTCGTGACGTCAGTCACGCGTACCAGGAGGCCCTAGGTGGAGGGGCGAGATCATCCACCACCACCTTTGGAGGCCACGAAAGCCTCACGGGGACCAGCAGCTAGCAGCAGCCAGCGGCGGTGGTCTCGCCGGCCGTTTGCCGCGGGGTGGGGGCAGGAAGAGGGGTACTCCTGGACCTGGTCAGGCCAAAGAAACAACGCAGGAGTACCCACCGAAACCCATCCTGCATTTCCCACCACCGGCTCGTCCGGAAAACGTGCGCTAGCTTCCGGACGTCGTTCGTCCGAGTTCAGTCAAGTGAGTCGACTCGCACGGTACCTCCTCTCCGACGAAAACGATTGCAAAGGGTTCCACTTCGGAAAGGCGGGAGCGTTGGCGCGTGCCAACGAGAATTTAAAGGGCCCAGTATCGGTAGGCAGAACATCGATTAGTCGAGGAAATCCGGCTTAGAATAATTCTCCGATTGAGTCCGACGACACCTAGGATGCAGAAAATCCTTTTTCGTAGATCTTTCGATCTGGTACCACGATTTGATAATATCCCGCTGTGACCGTATGTCTATTTGAGCTCGTTTCGGTGTCCACAAAAGAGAAAAAAAAGGATTTTTCTTTCTTCGGGAGCAACCTCGTGTAAATTCGCCGATCGATCGATCGCTTGTGTTCCGCTCAGGTTCTCCCGGTGAACCATCATTGGTTTTGGTCGGTCGCGCGCGGAGTTTACTCAACGCAACGACGGGGATCACATCGGTGGTAAGAGTGCGTGTACGGGGGGGTGTGTGATGCCCTGGTTATGGTTAAACGTGAGTGAGGTCAGTGGCAAGAGGCGGAAAAGAAGAGTCGGTAGCAGAACGTCAAGCGGATTGTCACCCTCATCATCGTCGCTGCCGCTGTCGTTGTTGCCGTCGTCGTCGTCGTCGCCGTCGTCGTCGTCGTCGCCGTCGTCGTCGTCGTCGTCGTCGTCGCCGTCGTCGTCGTCGTCGTCGTCGTCGTCGTCGTCGTCGTCGTCGTCGTCGTCGTCGTTGTCATCGTCGTCGTTCTACCAGCCGTTCTGGAGACGACGAGAGCAGTGACCGCGCAAGGTCGACCTCGAGGCAGAGGCACGCGATTATGGTGCACCATTATCATCGTCGCCGCGGCCTCCAGGCGACCCACCACTGTGCCATTGGGAGTCGCGTAGGCACATGCGTCTCGCTCTTCCAGGTTCTTCTGTTGATTCTCAGCCTCGGGCTGCCTGTGCTCGATAACGGTGGCCTTGCCCTAGCGTGCGGACCCGGTAGAGGTGCCGGCCGACGGCCGAATCTGAGGAAGCTTACTCCTCTGGTCTTCAAACAGCATGTGCCAAATGTCAGCGAGAACACCTTACCGGCGAGCGGACTCAGCGAGGGACGGGTGTCTAGATATGACCCCAGGTTTCGAGACCTGGTACCCAATTATAACACGGACATCATCTTTAAGGACGAGGAAGGCACCGGCGCCGATCGTCTCATGACACAGGTGAACGCGCGCACTTCTTTTCAGAAATAAACAAAGGTGCAAATAAATGAAGGGTGAAATATTACCTAAAAGAATAAAAAAGTGCGAAAAATTCTTACTGTTTCATTCCCGTAAATCATTTTTCATGTAAATTATTTTTTCCGACTATAAAAAATTATATGAATTTAAAATTATAATGGTTTTTAGCGTAAATTTGTGGATTAAGATAAATCCGCAATTAGGTGAATTAGAGTTAAGTCATATATAACGATTATTAAAAAATAAATGTATCCCTTCATTTACTTGCATCTGTAATTCTCTAATACGCGCCAGATAGCTTTAAGACATATTTATTTTAAAATGCCAATATTTATAAGTATCAGCATAATAACTGCAAATGAAATCGAAATATTATCATGAAGATGGGCGTTGATAATTCTAAATTATAAAAATCGATATTAATAGTACATTATTTGTGGCGGGTGTAATGTCGTCGGTGATAAAATGCAGTTCTGCTTCAAGTTGTGTCAAAGACGGCCGTCCTTGAAGCAGCCCGACTCGCCGGTGAATCATCCTACGAAACGACACCGTATTTACGGGGGATATCAGACGACCAATCGATCGGTTGATCATGGCCGCGTTTGGTCTCATATTAATTAAAGCGACAATCGGACGCGACGTTATCGAGATCGGCAATTTCTCGCTTCCTCATCGATTTGCCTGGGTGCAAAGCGGCGAAGCATGATAATTAGAAATCCCGGAAAAAAATACACTCGAAGACCTTTACATTAAATTTCGGTAATAACAGTGGTTGTGCAAATTTTACTAAGAGTTTGTATCGTTTTTTAAAATAAGAATAAGAGGGAAAAATATCGGTTATTTTTACATTCTATAATATACGTGATTTAATCCTTTAAAGACGCGTATACCTATAGCTTCGGTAATCTCGCAAATGGTCTGTATAACAATTAATACATTTGTCAAGACAGTACCTAATTTCCTTCAGTAATTTCCAATATATCGATCGACTCTGTCTCTTCCACGGACGACGCGGGCAGTAACGTGTGTTATTACTTTAATGCGTGTCACTCTGTACTCTGGTCCGTATGACAAACTGGCTACTGTACGTCGTTAAAACGTCGGCAGGTGATTCACGCGAAATGCTAGCCGGCGTGATAAGCGACTCGATCATGTTCGATCATGCTCCCTTCATGCGGATAGTTTATGTATTATACGATACTATTACGTTGCATGATTCTTCCTCGCTGTCAATTTCGACGTAATCGTATTTCTTCAGAGAGAGATCAGAGGATGTGTTTTCCTTTAGGAATTTATATTTTATATATAATAGGGACGAAATGGTATAGAGAACGTCAGATTAATGACGATTAGTTAGATGATCTTTGTGAACGATCTTTCTCATGTAAATTTGTCACTTGAGACTTAAAAATCATCCGCGGCGCTGTGGGAACCGAATGCGAGAAGAGGACATCCGATCGCTCGCCCGTCATCACCTTTAAAAAGCGAAGACTATTCGAGGTTTATTTCTCTTCCATGGAGGCTCCATTAGTGCTTTATTCATGCATTTTTTATCGGTGTTTGCCTTCCACTTGGCGCCCCCGCGAAGCGTGAAACGATTCTCCTAACTCCCGCTCCGTTGTATTCCAATTTGTAAGTCGACATCGCCGCGTCACACAAAAGGCAGCCTCGGCGCCGCGGACAGTGGTGCTTAAGCGGACAAAACCTGAATTCTTAGAAGCTTATCCAGAAAAATATCTAAATATACAGATGTAATCTTAAATTGCTGGCTAATATGGGGAATCACCATGAGAACGTGGCAGAGGCTTTCTAGATCAAAGCAAATTGCGACAAAATGTCTTTCATGCGTTGAAAGATATTTTATTCAAACACATTAATACTCTTTAATATTTACTTTTAATTTAATTTATTTAATATTAATTTTTATTTATTTTTAATTTAATGCTCAAAAATCCTGCTAGGCTACGCAATAATCATACTGTACTATCCAGAATATCAGATTTAAAACCCAAAGCTCAAAAACACTTTTTACCTATCTAATTTCTTTTGATCTTTTCTGATAACTTGACTTCCTTTAAAATATTATTTACAAATAGCGCCAAATGTCAAAAATGAGTGAAATGGCGAGTACCACTCTACGGGTGAAAAACGAAGTAGTTGAATACGAAGTAGTCAATTTCTTAAAACTGTTAAAAGCATTCTTAAAATATTCTTGAACTATCTCTCAACTTAATGTTTGGGCTTTTTGATTAAGTATCGTGCAGATGTGAGAAAATCGTGAGAACTTTCCGGATGACTCAATATTTTTGCTATGCGAAATATATCTATTATTATTCCTGTATGATATTATAATATTTATAATCCGCTGTGTTCGATTCTCGAAGGAATCAAAGATGCAAGAAAAATATATGAAGTAAAAAATATAATCTCTAGGAGGCGATGAACAAGGAAACATTTTTGAGTTTTTAGGCACATTAGGAACACAATTTATTCATTATAAATCCTCATATCATTCCGTTATGTTGTATTTTGTTGTGCAATATAACGAATAAAAGGAAATGATAAAAAATATATACTAGATATTGATTGGTACTGAAGTTTGGTACTGATATTAATTGTCTTAATATATAAAAAGTTTCGTATATCAATATATCATATTTAATGAAAAATAATTGAAACCATTGTGAGACCGTAAAATTTCTCTTTAGCTGGACCCCGACTAAGCAGAAAACGTGTGCGAATTTTCTTCAATAAGTTTAAATAGCGTCGCGCAGGGATACATTTTTGTCAATATATTAAAGGAAAAAAGCTCATTACGCCCTGTTCGTTAATGTTCGTTCTTATTATTTACCAGCTTGGTCGGGGGGTTCAGCTTTAGGCACCACTGCGTGCCGCGCAGCGCCGGACCGGTTGTTGCTTTGTGTAAACTAACAGCCGAGGTGGAAATACGAAGAGTAGACTTTCCTGGCCTCGTGTTTACCCGAATTTCGCAAAGAAGGGCCGCCTTTAGACCGGCATGCCGCTAAAAGAACAGAGAACCGGCATCAAATCTATCACCGTCGCAGTATTTTCACTCGTTCAAACATTACCACAAGATAACTACCGCCGTCACCGTCACTTATCTTTTTTTTCTGTCAGATACATGCTGTGCTTTTGAAGCACACCACAGGGTTACAACAAACTTGGGACACTTTATTTTATTTCGAAAAGTCGATCTTTTGTGTCGATATTTCTTGGCACAAAAAGCCGATATAATCGGTTTTCAAACAGTTAATAGGGATTGACCGAAAATCCGGTTCTTAGACACTTAAAAGTTCGAAAGTCACAAAACAAAAACTGTTGGATATAAGAAATTGGTCCAATGGAATGATCTATCTTTTTATAAAAATCCATAAATATTGTTAACACTTTCTATTTTTAAAATATTTTTTGTCCAAAAAAATTTTTATCGCAAAACGGCGATAAATTTTTACAAGGAAAATTGATGAATATTATACTATAATTCGCACAAAATTCGTGCAACGATTATACTTATCCAATGCTTTAACAATGTTTAATCTGATATGTTTTCGGACATGTCCGAGCATCGATGTCTCCCAAACTGAGCCGCGATCCGTCGGATTCGTATGTGTGCTCGTTAACTGCATGTTTCGTGTGTATAAATCTCGATCTCTATATGGAAATACATTTTTCCGCAATGAACATATAAAAAGATGACAGTTCAATGATATCGGGAGAGACTATAGACATTTTTTACTTATTCGTAAATAATGACGATTGCACGTCGAAACGCTAATGAAACATATGTGAAATATAATATTTGCTTTCGCAAAATAAAGTTATTCGCTACGGAGATTAATGTATAAACGGAGATTTTTCTTACTTCTTACCACCTCGGTTAAACTAATTTTTATAAGCACTTGTATAAACAGTGAGATTTATATAGACTCTAACACGGTAAATTTATAATGATAAATTTTCAGCAGTGACAAGTGCTCTGACTAGAATCATTGGTCTTGCTTGAAAATGTCAAATACGCCGCATAATTGCAATAATCGCAACCCAGCAATTAACAGAAAAGACAGTAATAAATTTGTATCTTATGTCTAATACTATAGATATAGTCGCGTTATCTTGAGCTTTCGTTTGCGAAAGTTGTAAGTTGGGTGACGTTATTGCGTAAGTTGTGCGACGTTATTGCGAGTCTAGAGCCTGTATATCTCTGGTACTCTAAAGTACTCATAGATAAATCGATACTTGAAAAAAAAATTTGACATATTCGATTCGTTCCGGATGATCCTGAAATTAACGTCGTTTCAAGTGTAGTGGATCGCGGGACTGAAATTTGCGTTAAACGACAGTAAGAGGTGTGCGCAAGAAACCGCGGCGAGGATAGCCGGACTCGAGCCGGCGAATAACAAATCGTCGGTAACGACTCGTCCTCCGGTCCGTTCGTCTGTCCGTCCACTTCGTCCTGCCGCTGCTCATCCTCGCGATCGCGCGCGGCGACTAGCAGCGCCGGTCGCGCGGAATAAATAGGGAGAAAAAGCGCGTACCGCGCGCCGGCTCTAAGTGATTGTGGGTAGTTTTATGGCGGCCATAACCGGTGTTTGGTTTAGCGCGTTAAAGCTCCCCCAATTACGGCAAATAAACCTAATAGCCGCGCTTCTCGTTCCTCATCCTGCTGTCCTTCTCCGTTCCTCCGCCTAACCGTTTGCTCTCCACACGAGGCTCTCCCCTCCCCTCCCCCTCGATTTCGTCAGATCGACCTCCTTTTCCTTCGTGCCTCTTTTTCTCTTTTCGATCTTTTTCCCTCTGCACCGTTTCATGTAATGTTTATAACGACTCGTGAATGCGATACGGATTTATCAATTGCAGAGCGACAAAGTTAAAGATGAGCTAACTTTGATAAGAGATATCGCACTTGTCAAAAGCAATTGTTGGTCTTGCGAGCGATTTTCATTCCATGGAAATTGCGTAGG